CAGAAGCACACAAGTGAAGAGATCAAGCACCCAGCCCAGAGCACTCAGAAGCGAGGGCCTCGCAGCCGCTGCAGCATTCGTCGCAGACCAGACCTTGTTGAAAGCCTAGCACCTGCACCCAAACGGACCGAACTTTGCTTCGTTCCTGCACGTAGGGTGCGTCGAAGAGTGAACCAGGGTTTAGGGCTGCGGAGTGTGGATACTACATACTCACATACATCCAGGCTTCGGATCCTTGGTATGAAGAGCCCGGAAGCACACCCCTGTTTGCGTTGCCAGGTGATAAGTTCTGACCGCCCCTATCTTCGACGCCTGGTCACTGCGGCCGCCGTGGCTGCCTAATGTTGGCCTTCGAAGTGCTTTGATCTCAAAGCTCTCAAAGGATCACGACTTCGCAACGCTCAGTGCCAGAAGGTTTCAGTGATAGTTGTAGCTCGTTGGCTGTCCATAGATACCGTAGAAGTACCAGTGATCCTGAAAGCAGCAACTATTGGGATGTGACGGGTGTAAGACCACCAGCTTCATCTTCAGATGCAGGTCGGAGTTCGAAGTAGGTGAGGATCTCGAGCCCCGCACCCTGCCCTCAACCCCGACTCTCAAGAAGGGCCCTCCTGAAAGACATGCAGTCGCGTCGACTTTCAGAGTAGCTGCGCTTTGTGGCGCACTCCAGGAGTGCCGCTTCGGCCCACCAGAGAAAGATCTGCCGTTGGCTTTCACTGCTTTAGAAGATCATGTGTAAAAACCCTACTTCCGCTCTCGGACATTTATGTTGTCCGCGAGGGCTGAGCTCTGCGCTCTGCCCAAGCAACCTTCAATGTTCAGAACTATCACAGCATTGCCTGTTCATGCGGCGAATGAAGCATATCCTTGAACAATACAGAAGGAACTGCCATGGGGCCTGAACAATAAGAATCTAAACACAATTAATAATTACTAGAGTTGTGTCTGGGCAGTACGTGTTTTTCTCTGTGGAGGGCCTCCGGTGTGACTATTTTGAAGACCTGGGGCTCCTGACAAAACGTCATCGGCCCGTGAGCCTCGGATCCCAGCTCCTCATCAGTAGGACCGTAGGAGCTGCTGTGATTTTGTGTAGGATTCATGTAGGAGCTGCTGTTGTTCAGTAGGCATTCGAAAACCGGTTCCATCACCAGTCGATTGAGGCATCTGCAAACGTCATGCCACTTCACTTTCGGAATCAGTCCACCAACAATCAAAGTGTAGGCCTCCGCAGCGTATTTCCTAGTCTAATCCCAAAGCGATGCCTGTGGCTCCTCGCATGATTCATGCATAGTTGCCACACCCTGCCATTGTTCAAGCATGCAGGCCCTTCGTGGTAGCTGAGCAACAATCCGAATTCAAGACTGAGGGGTTGGAACAGTGTCGGGAAGCATGGTCAGTGTAGGAAGCTGGCAGCCCAGCGCAATTGCCAGCACTTCTCACAGGCTATATCCAGGTCAGTTATGTTCAGTTCAACCTTCGAAGACTCCAACTACGGTGGGCCTGCCTCCGTATGCAGAATAGAGGAGATCATGTTACATAGATGTTGTTGTTTCGTTTCTGTGAGCTGTTCATACTGTGTTTATATACTGCATGCATACCTACCTGACTGCCTAACTACCCATATGCATGCGTGCATGCATACATACATACGTACATACTTATATTCATACTTACACAGACATACAAACATAAACGAGTACGTACATACGTGCATGCATACATACGTACGCGTGGATGCGCACATGCATGTTATACATGCAGGTATAGATGTTGGTGTAGCTATAGGTCTGTACTGACATGTCTCTTTGCGTCTGCATTTGCACAGAAGTACATACTGTATGCTCATGGTTGCGGCAGACGCAGAAAAGATGCACAGTCGCCCTCCCATCTTCAAGCTGTAGTTCTGCTACCCTTCGTGAAAGCAGATGGGTTCTAAGATTTTGGCGAGGGGCGGTTTTCTCTTGGCCATCAGTAGCACATCAGCAGAACGGTTTCTGATCTTGCAAATATAGTTGAGTTCCGAGGCATCTGAAGCTGGCTGCTTGGAACGTGGTGTGTC